ATTTCCTATTCTAATTAGAATTATTTTTCCTTATTTAAAGGGGTTGTAACCCTAATTGGGGGAAGCTATTGAATCTGAGTTTTTGAGAGACTTTTCTCTTTAGTTCATTTTAGAACTTTATAGAACTTATCAAGATTATTCTTGTAGCGTTCTAACGTGACTTATCATTCTCGTTCTTAATCGTTCGAGGGCGTGGCGTCAACCAACTTTATACCTTTGGTTCTTGTTGCGTCATAGACAACAGGTCAAGGTTTTTACCTTTGGTTCTTGTTGCAACATAAACAACAGGTCAAGGTCCTATTATAAACCTGATTTGGCTTTCTTAGAGTTTAGAAATCCCTTGTCATGCTGTGGGTCTCATTGTTCTCTTTAGGGTTCTGATCAAAGGTTGTTAATTTTGTGCTATACTGGCTGATATAACTGGTATGTACCAGTTTTCCCTTTATCAAAAATGGTACTAGTCTAATATTAGGTCTAGTCATTTGGATGTACGAATCAATGTTCAATGTACTGATTGATATTTCACATACCAATTAGTACCAAATATAAACACATAACTGCTCTTAAACCCTTTCCTTAGCATGAAGAAGTGAGAATGATTGTGAAGTGGAATACCCTACTTTCACTTTGGGGTTTTTTTTTTTTTTTTTTAATTCATGAAAAAAATACTCAGATACTGTACCAATCAGACTTTGTTATTAGTTTGAAGGTGATGAGAACCCCAAAGAGAACAATGAGACCCACAGCACAACAAGGGATTTCTGAACTCCAGGAAAGCTAAATCAGGTTTATAATAGGACCTTGACCTGTTGTTTATGTCACAACAAGAACCAAAGTTTAAAAACCTTGACCCGTTGTCTATGACGCAACAAGAACCAGAGGTATAAAGTTGGTTGACGCCACACCCTCGAACGATTAAAAACGAGAATGATAAGTCAGGTTAGAACGCCACAAGAATAATTTTTGATAAGTTCTGTAAAGTTCTGAAACGAACCAAAGAGAAAAGTCTCCAAAATCACAAATTCAATAGCCTCTCAATTAGGGTTACAAGCCCCTTTAAATAGGGAAAAGTAATT